ACACACCCCCCACCCCACCCCCCCGGGAGCATCGCGGCCTCACCTCACCCTGGTGGCCTCCCCGGAGTATTTGAGGTTTTCGAGCTCCCGCTGCAGCCGACGCTTCTCCTCCTTGAGCTTCACCAGCGCCTGCTCTGTCTCCTTCTTAAGGGCCTCCAGCTGCGCGAACGTGTAGCCCTGGGCCAGGAACCTTCGCACCACGGACTGCGGGCCGTCCAGCCCATCAGAGCCAGGGCAGAGAGGCGCGGGCACCTGCCCATCCCGGACGTGAGGTCCAGGCTGGGGTTGTTTTACTTGTGATTTGGCAATATTGGGAACTGAACACAGGGCCTTGGCACTGATCTGCGTCTCTAGCCCCCCCCCCTTTGGTACCGGGGATAGAACTCAGGTCCTTGTGCTTGCGAGGCAGGCGCCGGAACCACTAAGCTAAATCCCCGGCCCTCCCAGCCCTTTTTCACTTATTTTGAGATAGGGTTTTACTAAGTCACCTAGTGGCCCTGATTGGGCTCGGACTTATCATTCTCTTGCCTCAGCCTCCCAGAGTGCCGAGATGACAGTTGGTGAATATTGCTTAGGGACGACTTCCATGGTCTGTGTGGTTTCAGGCTCAGGGCTGCCTGAAGGTGCTGTAGCCCCTGACAAATTGTTTTTCTGGGGCTCTTCCTGCTCCATAGTTTAAAAATCTGGGGGTGCTGGGATTTTAGCTCAGTGGCACTGCGCTTGCCTCAAAAGCACAAGGTCCTGAGTTCAATCCCTGGTACCGAAAGGAAAAAAAAATCCGAGTCCACGGAAATCAGCCAGTAACTTCTGGGGGGTTAGTCTGGCCCAAGGAAATACCATGTGCCTGGGCAGCAATCAGCTCCGCCCAGCTCCTCCCAGGTAGGGGCTACACCTTAGTCCCGGCCGGCATCCCAGATCTCTTAGGCATCGACCCTGAGGGAGGAGTGGGGGCTGCAGAGAACCCAAAGGGAGAGCCTGGCTGGGAGATCAGCTGAAGACTGTAGAGTAAAGTGTACCGACTACCCAGAGCAGGGTCTGAGGGTGGCCCTAGAGATTCTGCTGTGTGATAGCAGCGTCCCAGGTGGAGCTGTGGACACAGGACAGACACGAGTCCCAGTTCTCCTTTGCCAAAGGAGTTAAGTGCAAGGCCGGGCATGGCGGCACATGCCTGTCACCCTAGCAGAAGGCAGAGGCAGGAGGATCTCTGCGCATTCGAGGTCAGCCTGGGTTATAGAGTGAGACCTTGCCTCGAAAACAGAGGTGAAGTACGGAAAGACAGGAGATGACAGTCGAGTGTAGACAGCTCTCCTAGGCTTCGCTGGGAAGTGCAGCAGAGAAACTGGGCGGCAGCTGGAGGGGTAAGGGACGTCTTTCGAGAAGAGAGCGGGTTTGTGTGCTGCAGACTTAAGGGCAGGCAGGGTTTGCTAGGCCTGGCTTGGGCGCGTCTAGGGGCGGAGGGTGGCGCTCACGTGTGTTTCAGCCGCGCCGGTGGCGTCCTTGACCTTGCTGAAGGTCACTTCCATCTGGTACATGGTCCAGCGCTGCCGCAGCTCCTCCTCCTTGGCGTGCTGGTGGTCTTGGATCGTGTCCTCCGACTGCAGCAGCAGGTGATCGCGCTGGGTCTGCTCCCAGGGGAGGGGGTGAGGTCGAAGCCAGGCGCAGCTGCTGGGAACAGGACTTGGCGCGGAGGACGAGTGGGGGAGGGGAAGGGAGCTGGGCCAAGGCCTGGGGTCAGTAAGGGCACCCCGGCGTGGGTCAGCTGGACTGGACTAGGGCGGGCGTCAGAGCCGGGGCAGAGGGGCGGGGCCAGGGCAGGGGCGGGTCCTCAGGAATCGAGGCCGAGAGGCTGCGTCGGAGGTGGGAGGGGAGGGAAAGACAGCGTGGCCCCCCGCAGAGTGGGCGGAGCCATGGAGGGGTGGGGCCTGGAGAAAGTCCAAACACAGGAAAGGTCCGTGCCGAGTAGGGGCGGGGCTGGGCCCAGGCCAGGCCAGGCCGCGGGTGGCTTGGGCTGATTGAAGCCCTGCCCCCTCCTTGTGCCCACCTTGCGCTCCATGCGCTCGTTCTGGAGTTTTTTCTCCTCTGCGCGCTTCTTGCAGTCAGATATGTACAGCTCGCGCTTCTTGCGCTCTCGGATCACCTTCTCCTCCAGGTACTGCAGCTGGTTCTGCAGGGCAGGCAGTCGGGTGAGGGGGAGCTGATACCTAACAGGTCTACATAGCTGGAGTGTGGTATCTTTATTCATTTATTTTTTTGAAACAGGGTCTTGCTATGTAGTTCAGGGTAGTCTTGAACTCACTGTGTAGCCCAGACTGGTCTTGAACTCACAGAGATCCTCCTGCCTCAGCCTCCGGAGTGCTGGGATCACAGGTGTGCACCACCACGCCCAGATTTCCTTTCCTTTCCTTTTTTTTTTTTTTTTTTTTTTTTTCTTTTTTTTTTTGAGACAGGGTCTCACTATGTAGTGGAGACTGACCTGGAACTCACTATGTAGCCCAGGTTGGTCTCGAACTCACAGTGATCCTCCTGCCTCAGCCTCTGGAGTGCTGGGATTATAGGCGTGTGCCATCGCGCCCAGCTCAGGATTTCCTTTCTTTTCTTTTTTTTTTTTTTTTCTTTTTTTTTTTGAGACAGGGTCTCACTATGTAGTGGAGACTGACCTGGAACTCACTATGTAGCCCAGGTTGGTCTCGAACTCACAGTGATCCTCCTGCCTCAGCCTCTGGAGTGCTGGGATTATAGGCGTGTGCCATCACGCCCAGCTCAGGATTTCCTTTCTTTTCTTTTTTTTTTTGGGAGGGGGTGCTGGTGATGGCACCCAGGGTTTCATGAATGCTGGGCAAGCGCTCACTACTGAGCCGCACCCCCAAGCCCCCCAGGACAGGCGACCCCGGCACCTTGGCAATGTCCCGGGCATTGATGGCCTCTTGGTTCACTGCGTGCAGTTCCTGCACCTCCTGCTTGGTCTTCACCACCTCAGCCTCCATGATGTCCAGCTGCTTCCCCAGGGTGAGGGCCTCCTCCTGGGGCACAGGATGGGCCAGCCATGACTGCTGTCCCAGCAGCCTGGCCTCCGCCTCCTGGGCTGCCCCTCCCTGGGTACCTGGAGATAGGCCTTGAGCTGCAGGTATACGCCAGTGATGTGCTCGGCCTCCTCCGCCTTCATGCGGGCCTTCTCCAGCCGGTTCTCCAGGTTCCGCATGGTCTAGGGCGGCAGGGCAAGGCTGGGTCTCCCCTGGGCCCCGCCTGTCCCCGGGTCCCTCGGGCCCTCGGCCCCACCTTGGCCATCTCTGTGTTGCTGTCCTGTGCCTCGGCCATCTCCAGCTGGCGCAGGCCCTCCTGCAGCTGCAGCTCATCCAGCCGCCTCTGTCGCAGCACCACCTGGTGTCTCAGGGCATTCAGCTGCTTCACCTTCCCGCTCAGCTGGTGGTCCAGGTGCTCCAGGGCCTGCTGTGGGTGGGCCGGGGCAAGAGCTTCCGGCTCAGCATCGACCCGCCCCCTGCCTGCCGCCTCCCTCTGCTGGGCGCTCAGTTTCCTGACTGTCCTACTGTGATCTTACACAGCCTCGGGGCCCTAAAAGCCACTCATTTCCAACTTAGTCTCCGATTTCAGTCTCTTTTCTTGGTACTGGGGATTGAACAGGGCCTTCCCACTGAGCTACATCTCCAGGCCTCTCTCTTCTTTATTGTAAGACAACAGGGTCTCCCTAAGTCACCCAGGCTGGGCTCAAACTTGCAAACCCGCCTGCCTCAGCCTCCTAGAATGCTGGGATCTCAGGCGTGTGCCACCAGGCCTGGCTACCCTGCAGGCTTTGTCCCATGCACACTTTCTTCCGGATGTAAGACTCCACCATCATCACAACACACACCGCAGCCCCGTTAGCCCACTACTCCAGCTCAAAACCCCACATGGTGGAGCTCAGGGGTTACAGTGTGTGTGGAGCAAGTGTGTGCTCGTGTTCCCGGCGCCAAACACAAACGCAACCCAAACCTTTGTGTGATTCTCACCTTTTCCGTCCCACCCACATCCCATGGGTCAGCAGTCCCTCTGGAATCTGTGTGGGGTCTCCCTGGAGATACCTCTTTCCCTCAACCATCCTGTATCTGGGTGACCTCTTCCTGGCCTCTCTCTAGCCTCCTTGAAGTTCATTTTGCATTTCTGATTCTTGGTATAAAGCCACATCCGGCTGGGCATGGTGATACACACACCTGTAATCTGAGCACTTGGGAGGCTGAGGCAGGAGGATCTGTCAGTCCAAAGCCAGCCTGGGCTACATAGTGAGTATAAGCCAGAATTACATAGCAAGACTCTGCCTTAAAGAAAAAAAAAAAAAATCCACACGAGAAGCGAAGCCTGCTGCAGGATCCAACAGAGAAGAGCTCCCTTGCTCGGTCTTCTCCAGCCATGCTGGCCAGCACCCGGATCTCCAACACCCCAAGCTTGCCTGTGTCTCAGGACCTTTGCACGGTGCTTCCCTCTGTTAGGGGCACTTGGCTTTTTTGTTGTTGTTGTTTCTTTGTTTGTTTTGCAGTGCTAGGGATGGAAGCTGGGGCCTCACACATGCTAGGGAGGTGCTGTACCACTGAGCCTCACCCCCAGTGATTTTTACTTTTATTTATTCTTTTGTGGTACTGGAGATCAAGCCCTTTGAGGTTCTGCCACAAGATAAGTCCTCGGCCCCTTTTATTTTTTCTTTTGAAACAGTCTCACTAAACTGCAGGCAGGACTTGAGCTTGCGACCCTCCTGCCTCAGCCTCCGAAAGTGCTCTGATTACAGGTATGTGCCCAGTAAGATTTATTTTTTTATTTTGAGACCATGTCTTACTCTATTGCCCAGGCTGGCCTCAACCTTGCTATCCTCCTGCCTCAGCTTCTCGAGCAGCTGGGATTACTGATCTGCACCACTGTGCCTGGCTTTTTTGTTTGTTTATATATTTTTTTAAAGAGATGGGTTGGAGACAGGTCCTTTGTGTTGGGCAGATTGGCCTCAAACTCCTGAGCACAAGCAGTTTTCCTGCCTCAGCCTCCTCCGTAGCTGGGACCACAGTTGTTAAAGACTGGCCAGTTTTCTTGACTAAGGTATGAGCTGCTTGGAAGGAGAGCGTGATCTGTCTTATTTGATGCAGGTGTCTCACTATGTTTCCCAGTCTGGCCTCAAACTCTAAAAGAAGGAATTCAATGAAGATTTCGTGGATCGAGCAAAATGCCTGACGGCTGGCTGGGAGGGGTTGGAAGGAAGGGGCCCAGCGTGGCGGTCTCGGGGAGGGGCTGGCAAACCTGGGCCATCCTGTTCTTCAGGTACGGTGTTTCTTCCTTCCACTCTTGAATGACTGCCTGTACCACTTTCTCGTCCCCCTGTGAGGAGAGGCCCGGTCAGCCCTCATCCCCTCTGTGTGTCCCCGGGAGTCCCGCCCGCCTCCCTGTGCTTACCTGCAGCAGGTCTGCTAGCTGCCCCCGGAGAGCCTTGGTCTCCTCGCGGAGCTGGCTGATGGCCTCCTGGTTCTTCTTAAGGTTCCACTGGGAGTTCTCGTAGAAGGCCTTCCGGTCACCCTCTGGGGCCGGCGAGGGGACAGACACAAGCCCGGCATCACTGGGCAGGTGTGTCACCTCCCGGAGAAGAGTAATTTGTGCACTCAGCAGCTTCATATTTTGATGGATTGTTTTTGTTTTTTTGAGACAGGGTTTTGCTATGTAGCTCAGGCTGGTCTTGAACTCATGGCGATCCTCCTGCCTCAGCCTCCTGAGTAAATGCTGAGATTACAGGCCTGGGCCACCACGCTGGTAAAGCTGTCTATAATTATCATGTCAATTAAAAGCAAACCCAGTGGGTTTAGGTGTGGCTCAGTGGTAGGGCACTTGCCTAGCAAGAATGAATCCCTGGGGCCAGAGATTGATTTAGCTCAGTGGTTCCACTGCCTGCTTTGCAAGCACAAGGACCAGAGTTCAATCCCCGGTACAAAAAAGAAAAATAAAAAAACCAACCAGGCTGGGCGTGGTGGTGCGCACCTATAATCCCAGCACTTGGGAGGTTGAGGCAGGAAGATCGCTGTGAGTTCCAGGTCAGTCTCAACTACATAGTGAGACCCTGTCTCCTAAAGCCTAGTGTGGCCACAAGTTTGAGGCCAGCCTGGGCTACATAGTGAGATCCTCTCAAAAACCTGGGGATTTCAGTGGTTCAGTGGCACCGTGCCCACCTCGCCTACCGTGCAAGTGCGAGGTCCTGAGTTCAATCCCTGGGACCTCCCCCCCAAAAAAAGTAAAATAAAATGATAATAATAATGACAACATCAGTGACTTACATACTGGGATTTCCCAAACATCCATAACCAACTCCGGGGTGGGATAATTCTTTGCTGTGGGGAGCTGTCCCAGGCCTCACAGAACTGTGAACAGCACCCTAACCCGCACCCTAGACACGTCCTCAAATAATAGAAAGCAGAAATGTCTGCAGCCATTGCCACATGGCCCTGGGAAGGGTCAAACTGCCCACAGCTATGAGAAACACTGACTTTTACTTCATAGTACTTTACTAGGCGACACTGTTCTGAGTACTTTCCCCTTTTCAAATTTAGTAGTGTCACTGTCACTCTCCTCTGTCTCTGTCTCCCTCTCCGTCTCTCTCCTTTAGTACTGGGGATTGAACTCAAGGCCTTTGCTGGGTAGGGTGGTGCACCTCTGTAATGTCAGTACTTGGAAGGCTGAGGCAGGAGGATCGCTGTGAGTTCGAGGCCAGCCTGGGCTCCACAGTGAGACCCTGTCTCACAAAACAAAACAAAGCAAAAGCCTTTGCACTTAGCTAGATCCCCAGCCCTTTTTATTTTTATTAAAAAATTTTTTTGTTCTTGCTATGGAGCCCAGGCTGGCCATTAACTCACTGGGTAGCCTAGGCTGCCTTCAATTCTCCTGCCTCAGCCTCCTGAGTGCTGGGATTGCAGGCTTGTGCCACTATACCCAGCTGTCTAACCCTCTTCATTTTTTATTTTGTGCCAGCATCTCACCAAGTTACCTAGGGTGGGCTCAAACTTGCCATCTTCTTGCCTCAGCCTCTTGAGTTCACCAATCCCTATTTTATAGATGGAAACACTGACAGCAATGAGTGCAGTCTTAGTTCCCCCAGGTCAAGCTATTGTACAGAGCAAGTTTTGAACTCAGAAAATCTGGCGCTAGAACCTATTCTTTTCACCACCGCTTGCATGGCAGAGAAGCTGAAATATAGGAAATATGAAATACACTCCAGTCAGTTCTGAGCTCAGAAGTTTGAGGAGAGATAAAATAAACCATGAAAAAGTATGAGTTTTTCTACTTCCAAAACTGGTCATCAAGATGCATGACCTAAGGCTTTGGTCACCCGTGCCTGGCCAGCAGCCTGGGTAGACACTGTTGACCCCTGACCCCGCTGTGCCCTCTGGAGCCATCTTACCCAAGAGCTGGATCTTCCTTTGTAACTCAACCACCTGTGTGTGCACAGCAGTCTTCGCCGGACTGCGACGGCGGAGCACCGCCTTGGAATGGAGCGGGGGCCAGGCCTGTGCCCGCACCGAGCCCTTGCCTTCGGGGTGGCCCTGCTTGGCCAGAGCCTTAATGCCCTTGGCTTTGGAAGAGGGCATCAAAGCCTGATCTTGAGAAGACACTGCACTGGCAGAGGCCGCCCTACACAGGGGAGACGTCATGATTGGGTTGGGGCCAGAAGTCCCTAGGGGTGAGGGGAGCAGCGAAAAACTGGCCGCCCCTGTCTGGGATCGGTCAGTTCGGCTTCCTCAGGCTCTGGGTGTGCACTTTCCGACCGCTTCCCTGGGCCTCTCAGCATCTCCCGGTTGCTAAGTAACCGCCTCCCCCGCCTCCCTCCAGCGTTCCCATGGAGACCACTAGCGTGCCACTCTCATTGGCTAGTAAGGTGCAAAGGGGAGGGCCCAGCAGGTTGTGGGGCAGAGCCTTGCTGCAGATGCAAAGGGTGAAGGAGGGTACTTCGAGGTCACGTGTTCATCTTATTTCCTTTCTCGCCCTAGCAAGCGGGGGTGAGGTTCGCGGGCATTTTTCAAGAACTTTCTTTTCCGGCTGCGGAAGCCGCCACTCTCAAGATGGAGGCTGGTTGCACCGCCATTAAGCGCAAGTCTTTAGATCTATCCTTTCTAAGGTTTCACAGTCCTACCCAAGATGGCCGTCTCAATTCCGGCACCTGTACATTTGCCACTCTCAACATGGCGACACGGAACCGCCGTTCCCTGCGAGCGGCTCGCGAAAGGAAGTGACGCATCTCAGGCACTTCCGCTTTCTTTCTGTAGCAGGAACCGTGGCCGCTGGGCTGAAGGGGTGTGCGGCGGATATCGACCTTTGCCTCGGCCTCATGTAGGTGATGAACTAACGGGTAGGAAAGCACCTTAATTTCATAGAGGGGCCAGCTAAAGGGTGTGTGTGAGGGGGTAGAGGAAACTACGAAGCCCTTGGGTTTAAGGCGGGAACTGAGTTGTCCACTCCGCTCTGGCGCGGTGAGCGAAGATTTTGAGTTCTCCACGATTGATTTGAGCCGAGTGAGACTTTCCTGTGCTGGCCAGGACTTGGGGGACCCCTGTTTCCTAATCCTACGTCGGAAACGAAGAGAGCGATCATTGCCCTAAAATAGTGGAGTCCAGTTGAGTGGAGCTGGCCCCTGACCCCGACGCGGTTCCCTGCTCACGTCCTGGCGTGGATCCCCGCATCTCCCGCAGCCCGCTTCCTCCCACAGAGCCGGGAGCCCCGCGCGTGATGTTGCTACTGATGTTGCTGATGCTGCCTCTCTGCTGGGCTGTGGAGGTCAAGAGGCCCCGGGGTGTCTCCCTCACTAGTGAGTCCTGCGGTCCCTGGCTGGGGATGGAGGGAGGGACCTGGGACGGACCTGAGGAGCCTTTTGCCTCAGTTTCCCTGCAGTGTGAAACTGGTGGTGGCATTGGAGACCCACGTGGTATTCACTTTTCTCCCTAGACCATCACTTCTATGACGAGTCCAAGCCTTTCACCTGCCTGGACGGCTCGGCCACGATCCCTTTTGATCAAGTCAACGATGACTACTGTGACTGCAAGGATGGCTCAGACGAGCCGGGTGAGCTCTCTGTGGGTTCATTCCTGAGCAGTGGACACCCAGGCCCTGCCCTGCCCTGGCTCCCTGCAGAGAGGGCTGAAATGGAAATGGTCCTCCATTTGTTTAGCATGCATGAGGGCCTGGTTCCAACCCCAGCACTGTCTCTGCTTCCAAAAAGAAAAAGAAGAAGAGATCAGGTCGTTGTGACGACCTTATCAGTTACCACCAAATCAAGCACGAAGGCTTCTGGAGGTGGGGCTTCCAGTGAACCATGAAGCAGGTGCAGGTGGGAGGGCTGCCTGCTCAGACTCCCAGGTGGGTGGGGGTGGAGCTAGGGCAGGCTGGCAGAGGACAGTCATCAAAGTAGGGCCAGGGGTTTAGCTCAGTGGCACCACACCTCCCTGGCAAGTGCAGGGTCCTGAGTTCAATTCCCAATACCAAAAAAAGTAAAAAAAAAATCAAGCCGGGAGTGGTGGTGCAGACCTGTAATCCCAGCACTTGGGAGGCTGAGGCAGGAGGATCGCTGCTGGTTTGAGACCAGCCTGGGCTACATAGTGAGATCCAGGTCAACTACATAGTGAGACTCTGTCTCAAAAAAGCAAAAAAAACCCAGAACAAGAGCCCCAAATGTACTAAGGTGGGAGATGTAGCTCAGTGGCGCAGTGCCTGCCTGGCGAGTGTGATGGCCTGAGTTTGATTCCTGGAACCAAAAAAGAAAAGGGGAAAACAAGTAGGGGGAGCTGCCTGACTTTTTTGAAGGGGCTTACAAGGAGGATTTTGTTTTAGGGCCCCAAGGTGTGGCTTTTTGTTTCCTTGGGTTTTTCCGGTGCTTTGGTGTTTTGAGACTGGGTCTCATTGTATAGCCCAGGTGGGCCTCCTGCCTCAGCCCCTCCGGAGCTGGAGTGATAGGCGTGCGCCACTGTGCCTGGCATTATTCTCACCTTTCTGGCCCTCTGTCTGCCTGTGGGTTGGGGCCGTGTGTATGGGTGGATGCTAGGCCGTGCCTGGCCCTCGGTGACCTTAGGAAACTTTCCCTCCTGACCCCACCCAGGCACGGCCGCCTGTCCTAATGGCAGCTTCCACTGCACCAACACTGGCTACAAACCCCTGTACATCCCGTCCAGCCTCGTCAATGATGGCATCTGTGGTGAGTCGGGGTCCTAGGACTAGGGCAGGGGTGGTGGCTGGAGGGTGGCGGCGCTGGCAGCGCTGATCTCACCGCCTCTGCCTCAGACTGCTGCGATGGGACGGACGAGTACAACAGCGGAAGGGTCTGTGAGAATACCTGCAAGTACGTGGGGTGACAGTCCTGTCCTGTCCTCTTCTCTCCCCTCCTCTCCTTTCCTCTCGCCACTCCGGCATCTGGCTTGGCTTCACCCCATGAGTTACGAGGCTCCATTTTCTGCTGCTCTTCTCTGTGTGTGTGTGTGTTTGTGAGAGAGAGATTGGGGATTGAACCCAGGGCCTTTGCACTGAGCTATATCCCTAGCCCTTTTATGTTTTTTTTTTGGGGGGGTGGTTGTCTTCTGTCTTTGTTTTTAACGTTTTCATATGTGTTCAAACTTGAGATCCTCCTGCCTCAGCCTCCTGTAGTGCTGGGATGACAGACATGCATCACAGCACCTGGGTTTTTTACATTTTTTCCATCTCAGATCTAAGGGTGGATTGAGCATTACACACTTAGTGGCCAGATTCCCTGTTGGGCTGGGAGTCAGGAACAAGGGCCTGGGGTCAGTGGAGGGTTTGCCATCTCATCTTTCCTAGCCTGATGCCTGAAGGGTGGGTTGGCAGGTGGGCCCTGAGCGCCCCGATGGTGCCCGTGTGACTCCCTCCACCCCAGAGAGAAGGGCCGCAAGGAGAGGGAGTCCCTGCAGCAAATGGCCGAGGTCACCCGTGAGGGGTTCCGCCTGAAGAAGATCCTGATTGAGGACTGGAAGAAGGCCCGGGAGGAGAAGCAGGTGAGGGCGTCCCGGAGGTGGAAGTGACCTGAGCCCGGGTCACTTAGCAAGACCCTGGTTCAAAATATCGGTGCTACACGTAGTTTTCTCAGCTACCTTGAGGCACGAAGGTTTCCGTCCAGCGGGTCCAGGGACCCACATCCCGGGGGCACCTGGAGAGATGGATCTGTCGTGAGGGTCACAGCCCCAAAGGGGTGTGGAGCCAGGGAGGTGCCCAGCGGAGGAGGAGGAGAGCCGAGGCGAGCCCGTCTCCTGCCTTCCGCCCGTCTAGAGAAAGCTCACCGAGCTACAGGCCGGAAAGAAGTCTCTGGAAGACCAGGTGGAGGCGCTGCGGGCTTTGAAGGAAGAGGCTGAGAAGCCGGAGCAGGAGGCCAAGGAGCAGCACCGCAGGCTGTGGGAGGGTAGGCGGGCAGTCGGAGGTGGCCGGCCCGGGAGGTTCCACTCCACTCTGCCGCCAGTCTTCGGTGGGATTTTTCCGGGGCGTCTCGTCTTCCGTGTTCCTCTTTGGACTCAGAACCTTTATACTGAGCTCCGTCTCTAGCCTTTTTTTTCCATTTTTAAATTTCGAGACAAGATCTCCCTAAGTCTCTGATTACCCAGGTGGGACTGGAACTTGGGACCCTCCCGCCTCAGTCGGTTTAACAGGCACGGGCGCCATGCCCGGCTTTGGGTCTGCTGTTTAGGGTGCAGCTCTTTCAGGGGGATGGAGTGACGAATGAGGCAGAACTGGGGGGACACAAGGGTGGTGTTGCCGCTGGGCCGGGCAGTTCAGGCCCCAGAGGCTGCATGCTGGCGAGCCTGAGGTTCTGAGCAGAGGCAGGACGGTCTCTGGCTTGGGTGGCCCCAGTCTCCCCTGGCCACTGGGGAGCAGGCTGGCTGGGGGTCCAGGCCCTGAGGCGCTGTGTGCTGGTCCAGACCGGCTGGGGCTGGGGAGGAGCAGGTGGGTTCTGTGTCACTTGAGGTAAAGCGTTCGTTCTGCCCGAGCCCGGGTCTCCATCCGCTGGCCCCACATCCCCAGCCCTGCCTACCGACTTCCCCTGTTGTGCTGCCCCGCTGGGCTCCGTCACCTGTCCTCCCCTCAGAGGGCAGGGACCTCTGTCATCTTGTCCCCAGCGGCATCCCCAGCGCCATCGTCATCGGGCCAGATGCGCTGTGCGAGCCGGTTCTGGTTCTGGGGTGGCGCTGGGGCCCAGGGTAACAGTCGCCCGCCCCCCACAGAAGGGAGCTGGACGACGACATGGACGGGGTGTAGGTGTCTCTTGCCGCGGTCGGCACCCCGGCCCCGCCTCCACGGGTGGGGGTGCTGTCGGGACGAGGGGCACAGGGGAGCCCAGGCCTGAGGAGCAGGGGTCTTCAGAGGGACCGCTCGGTGCTGGTTTGGGTACAGGACGGGCGGCGGCTGGCGTGGGTACTGGGCTTCGCTGGGGGGGGCGTGGGGCCGTGGACAGTGGCTGTGTTGGGCAGTGAGGGAGGAAGTCAGGTTGGGGGGTCAGCGGACAGGGTTTGGGTGACGGGGTCCCGGCGCTGCGTGTTACCCCCCGTCCCAGTCCCCCCTCGACCTGAGGTCCCGGGGAGCTTCTGGGTGGCCCTGGCCCAGAGGAGCCTGTGGGTCTCGTGGTGCCCACGCCCCGCTGGGCAGCCGGCCGGGAGCCAGGTCCTTCCCCTGCTGTCTTCCCACAGGGTCTCGGTGGCCGAGCTGCAGACCCACCCAGAGCTGGACACAGATGGCGACGGGACGCTGTCTGAGGGGGAGGCCCAGGTGCCGGGTGATCCCAGGGCAGGAGCGGGCGCGGGCCGGCGGTGGGAGGTTCTCCTGCCGGCCGTCTGAGAGGGGACACCCACGCCCTTCCTGTCGCAGCTGCCCTCCCTCGTCCTGCCAGCCTGCTCCTGCCCGTCCCTCTGTCCGTCCCTGGCCGCTCCCACTGCTCTGTCCCTCTTGGTCTCTCGCCCTCTGCCCATGCCTCTGCTCAGCCTGAACCACTTCCCTCTGGCTGCAGCACCTTGCTCCCTTGCTTGCCTGATCACTGACGCTCAGGGCCCAGCATGCCCGAGCCTGGCACCGCAGTGAGGCCCAGGAGCTCAGAGCCAGGCACTGGGGCGCAGGGGGGCCCTGTCCTGACCCCAGCCTGACTCGCACGCAGGCCCTGCTCAGTGGGGACACACAGACACACGCCAGCTCCTTCTACGACCGCGTCTGGGCTGGCATCAGGGACAAATACCAGTCCGAGGTGTGTGGGGAGGGCCACCCCGGCCAGCTGGGCCACCCGGGCTCCCCCACTGGGCCCCTCCCTCCCTCTGGAAGGGGCGGAGGTGCTGGGGCCGCTGCGGTGTGAGCCTGGGGTACACAGCCCGACGGTCCCGTTCCCCCTGCCCGCCAGGCCCTGCCTGCATCCCCTGCCCCGGAGGTGACGGAGCCCAAGGAGGAGCAGTCGCCGGTGCCGACCCATCCCTTGGAGGACGAGGAAGAGGAGGAGGAGGAGGCTGAGGAAGAAGAGGAGGAGGAAGAGCAGGACTCCGAGGTGCCGGGGGAGCAGCCCAAGGTGCGTGCTCGGGGCGCAGGGCTGGCTGGGCGGCAGGCAGGGTCCTTTGCTGACTGCACCCCGTCCACAGGAGGCCCCGTCCCCGCTTGAGCCCCCGCAGCCGGCCAGTCCGAGCGAGGAGGACAAGATGCTGCCCTACGATGAGCAGACACAGGCCTTCATTGACGGTGAGGCCCCGGCCCGGTGGAGAGGGCGCCCCAGTCCCACCGCAGCCCCTCATGGGGGTCCTCACTGCGTCCCCAGGTGACCCCTGTGTCTCAGAGCCGCACGTGGGCTGTGCCTGCCTCTGCCCCGGGGAAGCTGGTCCTGCCCGTTGGCCCCAGGTGTCCTCCCCCTCCCCGGAGTACGGCTTGTTTGTGTCACCCCTGGTGGCCCCAGGAGCCAGCTAGGCTGGGAGTAGCGCCTCAGCAGCGGGGTGCGTGCGGCCAGCCCTACGCTGGTGAGGGCCCCGAGCGCTCCCAGTTCTGTCCTTGTCCAGAGCAGGCCCTGGGGCTGGAGGCAGCCATCCAGTGTCTGTGGCCCGTGCACCTCAGCCCCCCACATCGGACGGGCCCATGACCCGTGTCCCTTTCCCCAGCTGCCCAGGAGGCCCGCAGCAAATTCCAGGAGGCCGAGCGGTCCTTGAAGGACATGGAGGAGACCATCAGGTACCAGGCCCGGCTCTGGCTGAGACCGAGCGGTGCTGCCACCCTCCTGGCCACTGCCTGCCGCCACCTGCTCCCTAGAGGCCGCGGTAACCCGGGATCTCCCAGGCAACCGGGGCCCTGGTGGGCGTGGCTTCTGCAAGCAGGGCTCCCAGGTGGCAGGGATGGCAGGGACACAGCCCTCAGGTGTCCATCCACCTTCGGGCTGGGCTGTCCTCTGTCAGCCACGGTTTCCCTTCCATCCTCTGCTGTCTCTTCTGCACCTGGCCTCTCCTTCCAGGAACCTGGAGCAGGAGATTTCGTTCGACTTCGGCCCCCAAGGGGAGTTCGCCTACCTGTACAGCCAGTGCTATGAGCTCACCACCAACGAGTGGGTCTGGGCTTGGGGTCCTGGGGCACAGGCTGAGGGTTAGGGCTGCCCTCCATGGCTAGCAGGACACAATCTGAAAAGAAATAGAGTTGGGGATGCAGCTCAGTGCAAAGGCCCTGGGGTCAGTCCTCAGTACCACACACCAGAAAAGCAGCAGGTCATGGGGTGGATGTGTTCCTCTCAACAGATACATCTACCGGCTGTGCCCCTTCAAACTGGTCTCCCAGAAGCCCAAGCTGGGCGGCTCCCCCACCAACCTCGGGTAAGTGGCCAGGGCTGTACCCCTCCTGCCGTCTCGTCCCTCCAGCCAGCCTGGTGCTCAGCACCTCATTCTCCACAGCACGTGGGGCTCATGGGCCGGGCCTGAGCACAACAGATTCAGCGCCATGAAGTACGAGCAGGGCACCGGCTGCTGGCAGGGCCCCAACCGATCCACGACTGTGAGTGCTTGACCCATGGGGCTGCGGGGACCCCACCCGGCTGCCCTGCGTGAGCGTCCCGTCCGCCTTTGTCCTATCCCCAGGTGCGCCTGCTGTGCGGGAAGGAGACCGTGGTCACCAGCACCACTGAGCCCAGCCGCTGCGAGTACCTCATGGAGCTGTCCACGCCGGCCGCCTGCCCAGAGCCACCCCCCGAACTGCCCGTGGACAGCGACCACGATGAGCTGTAGGGTCGTAGCCCCGCCAAGGTGGGCTGGCTGTCCCGGTGGCCACCTCTTCCTCGCCGGGTGTTTGGAGACAGGGTCTTGCTGCGTAGTCCAGGCTGGCCTCGAACCCTCAGCCGAGCTGCGGGGCGTCACACCACACCGCTCCCCTCTTCCTCACACTCCCTTCCTCCCACCTAGACTCGCGAGGCGGGGCGGCGGCCCCCACAGTGCTGCCCTCTGGACGAGGCCTGGACTCCTAGGTCCCTCCCGCTCCTCTGCCGAGGGACCCTTGGGGGCCTCCGAGCCCCGCTCCCTGGGCCCTGGCTGGGCTGAGCCATGTTCCAGGCCCCGCTGGCCTCCAAAGATGGGATGAAGGAGCCCCCATCCCTGGCGGGTCACCCCTGTTCCCCATGCTGCCCCTCCTTCCCCGGCGGGTGGGGGCCGTGAGCGGCTGACCTAGAACAATAAATGTGACTACCCCAGACTCGGCCGTGTCTGCCCTGTTTTATGGGACGCAGAACCAAGAGGGGCAGAGGCGAATGCGGGGGTCCTGACCCCCCATGGGGCCGGCAGCGTGTCAGGCACGCACCCCGTTTCCTCTGCTGGCGGGCAGGTGAGACCCAGACCCAAGCCTGGCATGGCCGCGCACGCCTGTGACTCCAACACGGAGGAGGCTGAGGCAGGAGGGTCAGGAGTTCCAGACCACCCTGGGCTAGACGGTGAGACCCTGTCTCACAGACCCAGGGCCAGCAGCCTCAGCTCACCCCACAGGACCCGACCCCAGCCCTCCTGCACCCAGCACAGATCATGCAAGACCTTAAGATTCTGAACTTTTATTTTCTGGCATGAAAAGTACAAATAATTAAACAATTCCATGTAAAAGTCTGTTACCGCGGCCAGGCCAGGAATCCTGGTAATAAATAGTCTAAACGCAACGCAAAGTGTTCTCCATTGGGTTGGTTTTTTTTTTTTTTTTTTTTTTTTTTTTTTTTTTTTTTTTTTTTTTTAAATGTTTTT